GTACTTCTCTGTGTGTCCTGGGGCCCCATTCAGTATAGCCGCGCTGCGCGCGTCGTGGTCTGGACCATGGTTTGTGGGGGCGGCGCGAGGGCGCGAAGATAAGCTGCGCGCGTGGCGCACCTCGCGGGGCGCGGGGCGAGATCACGCCGCGTGGCCAGGCGAGTTTCGGCGGCGAGCGAGAAGAGCAAGAGAGAAGGATAGATCGTGGACAGAACCCCCAACAGTGACACGTCGATTAGTGAATTGTCCGTTTCCGGTTCTCGAGAGGGCGCCGCGGCCGTTATTTTCCAGGCTTGCGCCCGCCAGGTTTGGGCCTCAGGTCGTTTTCGCTAAACCACGTTTTACTTAAGGGACGTCTGTCCATCCCTGGATAGAAGGCCTTCTCAGAAGGCTCGGGAGTCCCCCGGCCTCCTGGAGGAGTGTGCTGAGCCTTCCCCGAAGACACACACCACATTTCTCAGGAGGCGCGGGGGCTTCTGAGAAGTCCCGCCGCCGTCTCAGAAGGCCTTCTCCTTCTCATCTCACCCCCTCGCTCGCCGCCGATGTTTGCCACATGGCGAAGCCAAAACGGAAACGGCCCAAGAGATCGCCGCGAAGAGCTGCAAGATAACGCCGGGAACACCTTACAGTTATGTCGGGCGTGTCCCCCTACAGAGGGATTTTCGAAGAAAAGTAACATACCCCCAAAATACTCCAAAAAGGTCAAAAAATATTCCAAAAATAGTTCCCATACTGTTTTGGGAGTATGTTTTGACTATTTGGGGGGTATGTTTGATTTTTCGTCAAAAATACCCCTGGAGGGGGACAGGCCCGACTTAAAACCTTACAGGCCAGGCGCATCTCCGGCGGTCTCCAGGGGGCCCGGGCGGAGGAGTTGTACCCCGCGCTTGGGGGGGGGGGGGAGGGGCCGGCGGGGCGGGCGCCCTCTCCCTCGGCGCCGTGGCAGAGGACTGCGGCGCGGCTGCTTCCTGCAAGTTTCGGCCTCCGGCGGCCCCGAGAGAGTCTCGGTTACACGTCTGATTCGATGTCTGTTCATGGGAGCCTTGGTCGGCGATATTGAAATCAGCTTCTCCTGCATGTGGACAGCGTGGGGGCCTCATTTGGCCCATCCTCCTGTTCCTCCTCTCCCCTCCCGTTCCCCCTCCGCCTCCTCGTTCTCTTAGCCCCCACGAATCCAATCCTAGTCTGGTCCAAATCCGGTCCAAATGTGTTCCAAATCCGGTCCAAATCAGGCCCAAATTGGACAGTGCCGGGGGCCACGCAGGTTCCCATGGAACGGACACCTCAGTCTGAGTGGCCTTTCGCCGGAGTGACCTCTTGGTGCGGGCACAATGGGGTCCCCCCTATCACCTTGGCATCGCTCGGACGTGTGCATCTTTCCCTCGGCGGGGACCGTCGAGGAGCATCGAGGAGCCTCCTCGACCATTTGGCGAAACAACCACGCACGACGGCGAAAAAGACACAGGGAATGGACGCCCGAGCGATGGCCAGTCACCGATTTCGATGCGATAGTAGCGTCTTGTGCGCCTGAGTATGGCCCCCCCGCAGTCCCCCAAAAAGCCGCGCACCAAAGGTCACTCTAATTACCCTGGGTCACTCTTGCGTGTAGCCGAGAGAGGAGGGTCCAGACAGACGCCGACATACAGTCAACCCGCACAGTGAGGATGAGCGACTTCCCACGGGTGCCTTTGCATCCTTGCCTCGTCGGTCATCCTCGGCCAATCCTCATCAATTTTCGAAGGCCAGCCCCGCTCGAAGAGCCTCGGCATGGTCGTCCAAAGCCCTTGCATCCTCACCGCTCATCCTTACTGTACGGGTTGACTGTAGGCACGTACGCACACTACGTACGCTTGCACAGTCACGGGCGATGGCATCGACACAGACAACAGCGCGGGCGCACCAGCAGACGGGCCAGCAAATCCTATAGGCAATTGCTGGAAGACGGACTGGCGTGCTGACAGGCAGTCGTGCGAACACGAAGAGACATCCCGGCTAGACGGCTACCAGCATTGGGGCGGACATGCGAGCAGTTTTTGTTCGGATTTATCTTGGCCCATGCGTGCCATTGCGCGGTTGCGACACGATGCGAAGTTGAGGCGAGCACACACTGCGAGATTGGGACGACATCTCAGCGTGGAGGGATCGGCTGTGCCGCTCGGATCCTTGTGGAAGTGGGCGTGCTGGCCGCTCGACGACGACGCCGACGATGAGAGTTAGCCCCTCAGGCTCCAGAGATCGAGGCCCTCGTGAAGCCGCCCAAGGACGGAACGCTCGCCGCACCCCCACGGGGAGGAGGAGCGCCAGCGGGGAGGAGGGGCGCGGGCCCGCGCCCGCGGGGCGCCCGCCGGAGGAGACGAGCGGGGACCCCGCGCGGCGCGGGACGCGCGCCCGCACCCGCCGCGCGCCCCAGCTCGGGGATTTCTTCTCGCCGAGGACTCGCGCTCCAGTGCGGCGCGGGGGTACGCAGTTCAGCGGCTTGCAGCAGTGGGGTGCGTGATTCAGTCCCCGCGGTGGACTGTGTCGGCTCACGCCGCCACCCGGCGCAGCGTGGTGGCATCGCATCGGGCTCGCAGAGTTAGCAGGCCCACGACGGAGCCGAGCATGGCGCATCGCATCGTAGCACGGCGTAGCGTAGCACTGCACATCATTGCATGCCAGATGTTAAGTATCAGTGCGCCTAAGCATAACACCGCGTGATCAATTCTGATGCCTGGATATTCAGAATCCCTGCAACATGTTCCGATACTATATCATGTGCAGTGGGCTCCGCCGATGACATGGGGATGAAGGGATAATGCCGACAAGCATACACTAAGGTAACACTGAAGGGAGGAAACCGTCCCGCCGGCTGACGCACGCGCGCGCTCCGCAGGCTCGCTCCTTTTCCGTCTCCCTAAAGCCAAGTGGTATAGCTGCGGAAGCAGACACAGTCAGTTCATCAGGTAGTGCGCGCAAGGCAAAGGAGCAGACACGGCGAAAGGATGGTGGTGCGGAAGGGGTGCACTGACCGTGCGGAAGGGGTGCGTTGAGTCCCCCCGCGGCGGGGTCCGTAGAGCCGCCCCGACCCCCCAACCCACCCGACCCGTACACATGTACAGCCACCGGAGCGAACCCCAAAAACTTTTTACCGCTCAACGGTGGTTGCCAGGGGGCGGAAGGCCGAAGAAACCCGACGTTCCCCGCCGGAGCTAATATTTCCCAGCTCAGGCCACAATGCCCGTGCACACGTGGTGCACCCGCTCCATGATGCAGTTTGGGCCAGCATCGACTATGTCGTACTGGTTCTTTTGTGCTGCGTCACCTGCGCCGACGACTTCTCCAGTCACGAGGATCATCCCACGTGTCTCTGTCACTCCAGTTCCATTGGTACCGATCTCTGGAGTAGTTGTGTCTATTTCCTCTCCTGCTTGAACTCCAGCTACTTGGCCCACTGTTGTCCTGGCCCTTCTCGCGCGGCCTCGCCTTCGACGTATGCGGCGGTGGAGGCTCTGATAAGGCTCTTGGCATTCCAAAGTCACGTTTGAACTTGTCATTGCATTCGTTCAAACTAAAACCAATGCCACGTTTTGTATGGCCAGTGACTCGCTGATGACGAGATACATGTCCGCGGTGTCTTTGAATTTCTCCATTCTCACTCTTGTTTTTCGCAGTCGACCGTCGCGTCGTAGCTGCCGTCCATGGCCGGCCTGGGGCCGCCGCCATCGCTCGCGCGGCCGCCACCCGGCTCTACAGCCGATCTCGCTGTGACAGGCTCATCGGCCCAAGATATGTCCGCCCACGACTGGATTCTGTCATAATCAATCCAGCCAGCGTTGGTGCCCGACGCGGCTGGGCCGGCGGGCGCCGGAGCATAGGGGGCGGCCCTACATGACTGCTTTCCTTCCCGGTACTTCGGTCTCGATTCAGGGCGGGGATATCGCTGAGTTCGCTGTCCTGGAGCGGCGGTGCCGCTCGGGGTATTTTCTTGAACGATTGTGGTTGCAGCATCGGTTGGAGACTCAGCTGGACTTGTCTCTGTGGGAGAGTCGGCTGGGCCGCTCTCCTCCTTTTCTTTTTACGGCAATTGGTGATTCCAATGGCGCTGTCAGTATTGAATGCCTTTTTTTTTATCTTTTTTCTTTTAGTTTTTATTTTTTTTTTTTTTTTCCCTTCTACTTTTTTTTTCCTTCCGGTTATTTTCTTGTTATTTCTTTTTTTCATTTTTTTTTATTGAAGGCTCCAAAACGGCGGTTGGTGGCAAGACAGATCTTGATAAAATGAGATTCCGTAGACGTATGCATGAAAACCATAAAACATAGAATCTTGGATGTTTGAACAATTCCGTCTTACGGTCTCTGATCCTTACGGTCTTACGCGCCTAGCTCGGCGCATGCGCCGGCAATTCGGTTCGTTCGTAACCCGAGCCATCTCTGCTGACGCCGTCGGCGCCTTCGCCTGCGGCTTCGACAAAAAACCTCCAGCAACCCACTTGCTGGTGGCACAGCGTGCCCCTGCATGCCCGGCGTTCGACTCGTTTCGCGCGCCCGCGTGCCACAGAAAGTATTTCCAGCAGCCCATTCAGGAACGATGCGTTGGGCCATCTGGGGCCCTCCTGAAGCCATCCATTTTGGGCCACTCCCTCTAGTCCCCGGAGAAGGGGCAGAGGCGAGAAGTACACCTCTCCTCGAAGAGGAATGTGGCAGGACGAACTGATTCTCTAAACCACGCACGCCCAACGGGCTGGCGGGACCCCAGCTGCAGAGAGCGCAGAATGGAGACAGGCAAGGCGCGGAGTAGCTCGGGTTTCCAGGCCGTTACTCAGATATTATGTCGTGAAACGCGTTGGCAGAAGAGCCGTTCCGCTCCTAATTATGCATTCCTTCTGTGAGCACGATGGTTGCGACGTTTCGCCCGCTGCTGCATTTCTCTCGGGCTCGCCAGTGCCTTGGCCTGTCAAGATCCCGCAGTTTCACGCACCGCGGGGCTCCGAGCGCGCGGCCGGGGGCGACGCCCGGACAGAGGAACACCTGGACGGCATCGCCGCGGAGCTGGCGCGCGTGCGCGACGCCAGGGCGGCGGCCGCCATCCTCGCCGCCGCCGATCGTCATCGTCGTCGTCGTCGGCGGCGTCGCCTTTGTCGTCGCCGCCAGTCGCCGCCTCCAGTCGTCGCCGCCAGTCGTCGTCGTCGTCGTCGCCGTCGTCGTCGCCGTCGCCGTCGCCGTCGCCGTCGCCGTCGTCTCGTGGCCGTCGTCAGGGCGAGACGTCGTCGGCGTGGCTCGACCCGTGGCCGCCCTTGGGCCGTGCGGCCGTGCGCCGGCGTGTTCGGGGGCCTCGCTCCTGGCCGCCACGGCCGGGCGCCACGGCCTCCTTCTCGCGGCCACGGCGCCTCTCCAGCAGTGGCGAAGTGTCCCGGCGCGCCTGCGGGCCCATCAAAGAATGTTCTACGATTTTTGTTGATGGTTTGCATGGGATGTTGTCAGAACATTTCTGGCTGAGCTTGTCGCGTTTTTCAACACATCCCGTTTCTGTTCTAAGAACATTGTTTCTGTTCTTAGAACATTCCTGGGTTCCAAGAACATTTCGTGGTAGGCCTATAGGAATGCCGGGACGGTCGGTCCCTGCTCAAGCTTCGGGAGGTCCTCGACGCCGGGGCGCAGCTCGTCCTGGCTCGAAGCAGAGCATGTTGCATGAACGCAAACTTTTTGCGCTCCGCGCGGCTTTCTTGGATCTGCGTTTGGGCCCCCTTGCGGCGCCACTGGCGCCACCCCTGGCGCGCTCCGCGCGCCAGGGAGGGGGTCCAGCGCAGATCCAAGAAATCCGCGCGGACCGCCCTTTCAGGGGCGGGGGAGGGGCTCACTGGGAGATGCATCGGCCCCAGTGCGCCCATGGATCGCTGATGGGGCCCAGACAGCTCGCCCCGCCGAATGCATCGCCGATTCCAGATCAATGTTTCTCCCCCTGAGCCAGTCAGCCCCCAACGTTCCCCCTCGTCGCCGTCGTCGACGAGTCCTGGTCAGAGCTTGGAGATCGGGGTCGATCGTCGTCCTCGCGTTCGACGATGCCTGCGTTATGGTCACCCTGGTTTATGCTGTTCGGTGTCGTCGTCTTCGTATCCGTCTTACTTCCCTTCTCCTTGATGTTCCTTCTCATCGACGGGGGCTAGGAGAGAGGGGGGCAGGATTGTTCTTCAGATCGCTCTCCGAGGTCTTCAAGCATTCATTGCTCTCGGTGTACGGCGGCGTCCCACCTTGATCTCATCTTCGGCCTTCTCCTTTCTTGTCACTTCTCCTCCCTCCTATCGGCGGCGCACCCGTGCGGGAGGGCAGAGGTGGCCGGCCTTCTCGGAAGGCTCAGGGGGCCTCTGGCCTTCCGGGATGTTGTCTCACTCTCCTCCGAAGGCACAGAGGGCTTGTCAGGAGGACTTGGCATCGCTCGGACGTGTGCATGCTTTCTTGGCGGGGACCATCGAAGAGCATTTTGGGCCATCTTGCGAAACATGCACGCACGAAGCCGAACAATGCACAAGGAATTGACGTCCGAGGGACGGCAAGAGGATGGAGGCTTCTGAGAAGCCCCGCCGCCTTTTGAGAAGGCCTGCCTCCTCTCACTTGCCACTCCAGAGCGCTGCCGATCACAATCTTCTCCAGCAGTATCCCTCCTCCTTCTTTTCCTCCAAGGGCAGTTCTTGCACTAGCAGCCCGATCGTCACCACAGCTCGACGGGGCTGTGGGAGAGACTCTTGCCCTGTGGTTGGCCAGCCACAGTAGGTGCAGGCCCGCCGTACCACCCCTGAGAGGCCCGATGGGGTTACTCGAAGGGGCCCCCCGACGTGGGGGGCGCGGGAACTTAAGTCCTTGGGCAGCGGGGCCTCCGCTGCTTGAGGCCGGCGGCCAAGTGGGGGTGGTGCCGGTGGCCGTGTCTCGGGGTGGCATCTCGAGACCTCGCAACGGCGGCGCGGATAACGCTTGGGGCGGGTCCGTGCCGCCGTTCGTGTTGCGAGGTCCGACTGCATGTGCATTCATGCAGGCACCTTGGGCACCCCCCTTCGGAATGTGTCGCTCAGGTGTTATGTCCGGGCAACAAAATGTTTGGGGTCCGCGCTGGCTGATTTGTTAGTCCTTCCCGCACGATGTGTGTGTATATATATATATATACAAGACAGCAGTGGCGCTTCGCGCCATGCATCTTGGTCCTTGAAGCTTGGTACGCAGGCGGAATAGCAGGAAGGCCAAGCCGACAATTTAGCGATAACTCCTTGTTGCTTTTTCCGGCATAGCCGCTATAATAATGTTATTCGGTATCCGTCTTCCATGCTTCTTTTTCGTTATTTTCGCCATGCCCTGGGCATTCTCCCCATCCCCCTCGGCTCTTTTTTGCGGAGGCTCCTCCTTGGAGAGCCTCTGGGGGCCTCACAAAAGTTGTTTCAGGCTTTCTTAAAGCCTTCTGGAGGCCTCCTGGGCGTATTCTGGGGGCCTCTTGGGGCTTCCTCGGGCCACCCTGCCTCCAACCGCGGTCTCCCTGAACGAACGGGTCACGATGTGGAATGATTCGGAGGATGTCTTTGGGTCACACTAGGCCGCCATGGGCCATCTTTGACCCGTGTTGTGCCTTTGTGGGGCTCTCTTGGACTGCCTGAAGCCTTTTCGGATGGTCGTGGGGCGATTTTGGAGCCTCCCAGGCGGCTTCGGACGCCCAGAAGACCGCCGTTTTGGAGCGACGGGAAGCCGAAAAGAGGAGAACCCCAAAATTCACAAAAAAAAAAAAAAACATTTGAAAATCAATGATTTTTGCCTGGGGGGGCTTCTTGGGAGTGTTCCTGGAGCCCTCTTTGGGGCTGTCCTGGAAACCTCTTGGGCCATCTTGAGGTCACGTCGGTCACTCTTGGATCGATCTTGTGCTGTCTTGGGGGTCTCTGGGACGTCTCCGATGACCCTTCTGATCGCCCTAGGTGTGCTGGGAAAGCTTGGCAAAACGCCCTGCGCGGCCCGGGGGCCGCTGCGAGGACCGTCCGGAATATCCCAAAACCCCAGATCCCGGGAGTCCGGTTTTTTTGGGGGGGGGTGACGGGTTTTCCCCCCGCGCGGGCTTGTAAAAATAAAGGAAGATGAATAAGAGGGGGGCTTAGAGGGCTCTTGTTGGTGCGATTTGCGGACCCGGCACGACGAAGACCACACCCAAGGCCCCCGGAGGCCCCCCCGCCCTAAGCGGCGTGAAACCTTCACCCCGGTTCCGCCCCCGATCCGTGCTATCGACATGCGTACGGAAAGAAGTAAGACGAAGACGGACTGCAGTTCCCGGCCACTGTCATGACCAGGGCCCGCTGTCGGTGTCCCTCGACCTCCCCTTCGGGCCCCTGACGGCGGACGACGGCGGCGAGGACGGCGGCGGCGCGGGACCCTCCCCCGGAAGCCAAGCGCTCAGGTAGGCCTGGCAATGGCCAGACGCGAGGGCGTGGAGGAGGTCTGCGCCGCGCCGCGCGCTGCGCGCGCCCCGCGCGCGCGCCCGGCGCTCCTGCCTTGCTCTGCCGGGGCTGCGGGGTCACGGGCCGCAGGTCCAACTCTGGCGAAGCGTCCTGGCGTGCCTATATCAGGAGCGAAACAAGGACGTACACGTACATGAATCCACGCTCGTTTCGAGAGTTCGCGTTGCGCGAATGCTTGCATCACGCGGCGGGTCTCGCGGGTCAAAAGGCCGTGTTCATGTACATAGTTGGGCGCGTACGTCCTTTGTGGGCTCCCCACTATAGGCCTACCAAATTCCAGGCCTCTTAGGTGTGGTCGGGGTAGATGGGGTCGGGGGACCGCGCCCCATCGCCGATGCATCACCGATGCGGCTCGATGTGGAGCCAGATTCGCTTCACGTCGACGTGGCCGATGCATCGCCCACGTCGGCGATGCCCCGCCTGTGCATCGTCGATGCATCGCCGATGTATCGGCGATGCGGCGCGATCCTCCGACCCTATCTACTCCGACCCCATCCTGGAGGCTTCTACAAACAATGTTATAATAACCTGTTGTGGTCTGCGCGCAATGTTTTTAGAACATTGCTGGTTGAGTTTGTCCTGTTTTACCACGTCGGGCTTATGGTATAATAACATTGTGGTTGTTATTCGAATATGGTGTTGGTTCTAAGAACATGTCGTGGTGGGCCTATAGAAATGCCGGGACGGTCGGTCCCTGCTCAGTAAGGGATGGGTAGTGTGTTGATTCCGTACAGTGGAGGCCCATGCCAAGGAACACCCCGCTGGCCTCCCTGTGGAAAGCGTGACGCTTCCACACCAAGCATCGATGAACGTCCTTGGGTCTCGGGGTTGGGCTTCTCCTGCCAGGTTTCCTGTGGGCTGGCCTCCACTGCAGCGGCTTGGACCGTGGTCAGCTCTGGAGGACATCGTGCACAGAAGCATGGGGACATGTGCGGGGCAAGCAGGCGTTTCTCCGCTATAACAGGTTTCCCCGATGACTCGGGGACAGCCTCGCTCGACGGACGAAGATAGGTGTGGGAGGGGGACTTGTGGCACAGACCAGTTTCAGAGTCCTCCCTGGTCTCAAGTCGGGCCGGTCAGATTCAAAAATCGTTAACAAAATAGTCTGGGGACGATTTGTTGACCATTTTTGAGCATTTGGGGGTATTGTTTTTTTTATGTTTCGTCCAAGTCCCCCTGTAGGGGGACAAGCCCGATTCCACCCTGGTCAAATGCGGAGCAAGCAGACAGGCCTGGCCCCCCGCCGCCGTTTTGGGGGGGGGGCGTCGGCTCCTCGATCGGTTTTTTGTTGGCCCCTCTCTTGCCTTTCCTGCCCCCATGGGGACCTCCAGGAGCCCCGGGGGGCTGTACGGACGCCCCGTGGCCGCGGATGTCGTCGTCGGGAATGTCCACCCCCCCGCCAGGAGGAGGAGGAGGAGGAGGAGGAGGAGGAGGAGGAGGAGGAGGAGGAGGAGGTGGAGGTGGAGGAGGAGGAGGAGGTGGAGGTGGAGGAGAAGGAGGAGGTGGAGAGAGGAGAGGAGGAGGAGGAGGAGGAGGAGGAGGAGGGGGGGGGGGAGGGGGAGGGGGAGGGGGAGGGGGAGGGGGGAGGGGGAGGGGGAGAGGAGGGAAAGGGAGGGGGAGGGAGGGGGGGGGGAGGGGGGGGGAGGGAGGAGGAGGAGGAGGAGGAGGATGAGGAGGAGGAGGAGGAGGAGGAGGAGGAGGAGGAGGAGGAGGAGGAGGAGGGGGAGGAGGCGGCCAGCGGGACCGCGCGCCTCGGGACCTGCCGATCGTCACCCGGCCAGTGGGCCATGAGAGAGCCCCACCGCGGCCTCGCCGGAGTGCTCCCCCTCGAGGCGCTCCCCGGAGAGCCCCCCACCGGAGAGCCTCGGGACGGGGGTCGAGGCAAAGGAGGGTCGGCCAGAGCGCTCGATTTTGCAGGATCCTGCAAAAAGCCAGGGGTGCGCTGAGACGAGTCGGCGCGCAGGATCCTGTGAGGATCCTGCAGGGTCGTGCGGGATCCTGCGGAGCCCGACTGCCCTGGGTTTGATTTGACCCAGGTCAGTAGATCCCCGACGTCGTCGTCGTCCGTCGTCCGTCGTCCGTCGTCGTCCGTCGTCCGTCGTCCGTCGTCCGTCGTCGTCGTCGTCGTCGTCGTCGTCGTCGTCGTCGTCGTCGTCGTCGTCGTCCGTCGTCCGTCGTCCGTCGTCCGTCGTCCGTCGTCCGTTGTCCGTTGTCCATCGTCGTCGTCGTCGTCGTCGTCGTCGTCGTCGTCGTCGTCGTCGTCGTCGTCTGTTGGCGTCGTCAGTCGTTGCTGGTCGTCGTCGTCTTCGTCCACACCCGGGCCAGGGGGCCGCGCGCTCCCGCGCCCAGGCGATCGCGGCTGTCCAGTCCCGGGCCCTCGACGCGGAGGCCTCCGGGGGGAGTCGCGGCGGCCAGAGCTGCTCCTGGGGAGGACCGGGGGCCCCCCAATCGGTGTGTCGGGGGCGGAAAAGAGGGGGGTGATGACTAGGGGGGAGTGGATATCATGGCGGGGGCCATGATATTTCCCAGATTTCATGGCGCCTCTTCATTACGTCCCTGGCCCCCCCGCTGGGCCGCGCACATGCCGCCGGTCATGATTTGCACCCCCCCCTCTTGGACACCCCCCTCTTGGCCGCTCCCGAACTGCTCGGTGTGGTTCGGTAGCGAGACATGTCAAGCAGTGGCGAAGCGCCCTGGTTCGCCTCTAGGCCTACCAAGCAATGGTCTAAGGACCTTTCTGTGGTTGCCACGGAACATTCTTAGAACATTTCTGGCTGGGAGTGTTTTGTTTTGACACATCGGGTTAATGTTCTCAGAGCACTGTTTTTGTTCTTAGAACATTGTGGGGTTCTAAGAACATTTCGTGGTAGGACTATAGGAATGCCGGGACGGTCGGTTCCTGTTCAAACATGGGAGCTTGGTATGCCCTCTTAAGTCAGTCTTTAGCGTCGACGCGCGTCGGTTAGCATCCATTAGCGTCGATTTAGCGACTAGCGTCGATTTAGCGTCGACTAGCGTTGATTCGCAAGAGCGGACAAGATGGTATGGGAGGATCCCTTGAGTTGCCACCGAAATGTGGTGACCACACCGTGTTGTGCGTCGGTGGTTACTCGTGCTCACCACACGGTTTGGGGACTTGGGTCGTTCTCCGAGGGTGTTTGGGGCGATGGGGGCCTTCGAGGTCCCAGAGCCCTTCGCCCGTGTTTCCTTTTGGCGCCCTCCCGGAAACCCATCGTCGCCACCGTAGGAGTCGCCTCGAAATTGTGGTCAGAACGCATTCGGAAGGGGGGTCAGGGGAGCAGCGGCATCGTTTTTTTACCCAGACCTTCAGATTCCAGAGAGCTCACAACATAGCACTCCAGACTTGTAGACCTATCTTGACTGCCTCAAACCTCGGCAGGACATAGGACGTCGACGTCCTGGTGTTATTTCTAAGTCCTCCTGGAAGGTCAGGGTGGTTGCCCCAGCAAAGCTGGATCTGGGTTGGGCAGGAGCCGCTCGCGGCCCTGGAGGTGCCTGTAGGGGGCGGCCTGTATTCCCTGGGGATAACCGGCGTGATTGGGGGGGAGGAGGAGGAGGAGGAGGAGGAGGAGGAGGAGGAGGAGGGAACGGAGGAAGCGGAGGAGAGGAGGAGGAGGAGGGGAGGAGGAGGAGGAGGAGGAGGAGTGAGGAGGAGGGAGGAGGATAGGAGGGGAGGTGGAGGGAGGGAGGGAGGGAGGGAGGGAGGGAGGGAGGGAGGGAGGGATGAGGAGGAGGAGGAGGAGGTGGAGGAGGAGGGGCCGAGGGGGGAGAGGGGGAATGGGGCGGGTCACGTCACGATCTGCGCCGGCGCCGTCTGGGAACGCCCCAGAGAATAGCCCATTCCTAGACGGCGCTGGCCGGAGTCGTGGCGTGGCCAGGGGGAGGTGTCGGGGGTGGACACCTCCTACCCTGACACGTCGATTAAGGAATTGGCCGTTTTCGGTTCGCGAGAGGGCGTCGCGGCCGTCATTTTTGCGGGTCCAGGTCCGTCGGTTTCGGTCCCAGGCCGTTTTCACTGAGGGGAGGTCTACTAAAGGGAGGTTTGTCCACTGCCGAAGGTGGGAGGGGAGGGGCGGGGCGGGTAACGGGCGGCATCGCGAATAGCAAAAGATGGACGGCGTGGGCCCCATACAGTGAAATTCTTGAGGTATTTGCGGTGTAAGCTAGGTGGTGCAATCCATGTATTGCAGCCAAGGCAATGCAAAACGCAATGCCAAAGCAGTGCAAGGCAATGCAGCGCAATGCAAAACAATGTAAATCAACGCAACTCACTGCAACGCAATGCAACACAATGCAAAATTATGCAACACACTTCGATACAACATCAATGCAAACGGAAAACCAAGCTATGCCAAGCAACGTAATCGATGCGAAGCAATGCAGCGCAACCCAAATCATTATAATTCTTCGCAAAGCAATGCAAAGCGATACAACGCAACTCGATGCAATACAGACCAATGCGATACGATGCAATGCGATTGCAATGCAATGCGATTGCAATGCAATGCGATGCAATTTTGTACAATCCATACGGTGCAATCTATGTGGTGGAAGAATCCATCTGGTACAACCAAAGCAACGCGCACCAATCCAACATTTTGCAAAGCAATGAAGAGCAAGACGAAGCAATGCAGTCAACCCAGTGCGTTGTACTGCGCCGTGGACTCGTGTCAATCAGCGCCAGCCAGAGCCCAGCAAGGCAGCGCGATGCGGCTACGTGCAGTGCAGTGCAGTGCTGCGCACCTGCGATGCCACGCGATGCGACTGCACTGCAGCGCAGTGCAGCGGGCGACGCCGGGCGCGGACGGGCCCGGCGGCCACGGGCGGGGACGGGCGGCACTCGGGCGGCATTCGGGCCCAGCGGCGACGGCGGCGGCGACGGGCGGCAGCGAGCCGGCCGGCCTGGCACTCGGGCCCAGTTGCGGGGGGGCTACGCGTAAGGTTAAGTCGGGCCCTTCCCTCTACAGGAGGGATATGCAAAAGTAGTCAGGGAATAGTTTGGGGACGATTCTTTCGCTATCTTTGAACACGTGTGGAGTATGGTTGGGGTATTCTTCATTTCTCGCCCCAAGTCCGCCTGCAGGGGGACAGGCCCGACCTGAGGCTACGCGCAATGGAGGGGGGGGGGGGGGGGCGATCAACGGGGGGGCCGCGAGGGCAGAGAAGGGGCCCCTCTCGGAGGCAGATATAGGCCTCCTGCCCTGACGCGTCGACTCGGGCACTGGCCGTTCTCGCTTTGCGGGAGGGCGCTTGCGCGTGCTCGGGGACGCGCCCCGGGGGCTCGGCTCCAGAGCGCGCGGGGGGCGCCTGGAAGGCTCCGGGAGCTCCCGTGGGGCGCCTGGGCTCCGCCAGTCAAGGCCTACGGGGCGTGAAAACGACCACAGCCACTGCTTTTCTATTGTTGCCGCCTTCCAGCCAGCAGAAGCAAAGCTGTGGCTGTGGTCCTGTTCGTGAAGCTTGGCGCCAGGGAAGTGACCGCAACCACTGCTCCTTTTTCGGCCAGCTGGAAGGCGGCGCAAACAAGAAGCAGTGGCTGTGGTCATTTTCCCGTCCCGCACGGAAGGCTCCGGGAGCTCCCGTGGTCGGAGGGCACCAACTATACACCAACGCCGATCCTGGCCCAGGATCACCCCGGGCCCAGGATCGGTGTATATGCCTTCTTGCGCAAGGCAGGAGGGCGTATACACCGATCCTGGGCCCAGGGTGATCCTGGGCCAGATCGGTGTTGGTGTATAGTTGGTGCCTTCCTACGTGGGGCGCCCGGGCTCCGCCAATGGAAGGCCGGTCGGAGGTTGATGGGCCTCCTGCCCCGACACGTCGGTTCAGGAATGGGCCCTTTTCGGTCGCGAGAGGGGCGTCGCGGCCGCCCTTTTTGGCGGGTCCGGGTCCGTCGGTTTCGGTCCGAGGCCTTTTTCACTGGCGGGAGGTTTACGAAAGGGAGGTGTGGCCACCGCCGACTCTGAGTCAGGGCCCCGAAGAGGGCACTTCCCCCCCCCCCCCCCCATGCATCGCCCCCCGTGAGTTCGCGCCCGGGTTGCCGGCGGCGACGGCGGCGGCGACGGGCGGCAACGAGCCGGCGGGACCAGCTCTTCTGGCTCGGTTGCCTCAGAAGAGAAGCATTCGGCCCTGCGTGCAAGCACTGTTTGGCAACCGGCTCTTTCAGGATGGTCGAGGCAGGTACGGGAAGCCCCCTGGACAGTGTTTGCAGCGCAAGTGTTCTAAATTCGGGCCGGGGTTGCGCTGAGCTAGGGTGGTGCACGCCCGAAGCAGGATCCGGGCTGAGGTTCATGCATATGTTCTTGATGTTTCGCGTGCCCCCGCTGGCCAATCCAGAAGTAATCCCCAAGGGAGCTGTTGGGAGTGGTGAATCTGGAGACCTCTGGGAGCCTCTTGGATGCCCCGTGGAGCCATCGTCGAGCCCTCGTGGAGCCATGTTGAAAGCCCCCCAGGCGCTCCTGGGCTCTCTTTTGGGAGCCTTGGGGGCCCTCTTGAGCCTCTCGGGCAGTCTTGGAGGCCATCGATCAAAGAACAGCGATCAAATCATGGGGGGTACTGGCGCCCCCTCGTCGGAGGCCGGAACGTTGCCTCTTGAGGCGCTGCTGATGCACTCTTGGACGCTGTTGGGGCCAACGTGGTGCCTTGAGGCTGCCTTGCTCCATCTGGGCGCCGTGCCTGCTAGATCGCGGTGGCCATGGGACTCTGACAAGGGGCGCGTTCGTTTCAAAAGGACGGCACATCTCCTTGAGAGATCCACCGATCTGGACGCAAGCAGGCGCGTGTAGTACCCCATGGCGGCTCCCCCCATGGGATGCCGAAGTGCCATGCCTGCCACAGCGATGATCATGCGGCTCCGAAGAGAAGCGCACCTAGTTCCACAAGCGGCCATTCTGTGTCATATGCCCCGCCAACCTGAGTGAGAACGGGCCCGTGTAATATTCACGGCGGTGTTTTTTGGCAGCCCCGATTGCCGTGCCTGCTTCATCGCGGTAATCATGGGGCTCAGACAAGAGATTTGTCGATTTATTTCACCACATCGGCATTCTACACCAGAGGTTTCACCCATCTGAACGCAAACGGGCCCGCGTGGTACCTTTTGCGGCTCTTTGGGCCCCTCAGCGCTACATCTCCAGAGCATGTGCTATCAAAAGACATTCGATGACCCCCAAATTGTGGCATTTCTACTCGAGATGCCAGCCTCACCAACTTGGACGCGATTGCGTTCGTGTAATGCCTTTTGGCGTGTCCTCACTGGGAAGCCCAAGTGCGATGCTTGATGCATCATATATGTAAGTGTGTGTGTGTATGAGTTGCCCCCCTCGGCCGCGTGCGCTTGTCTCCCCCTGTTTCTCTTGCTTCCTCCTCCCACGTGTGCCGCAATTCGTTTCGCATGTGTCTCAGCGTAGCTTGATCGCATCTCGGATCCGAGACGCCTCCGATCAAGAACCTGCGTATGGGCCTGGCTGAGCGTGGTGAGGGTCTGTGTGTCAGCCAGTCTGAGCATGAGTGGCCAGCGTAGTTATCAGTGATTACGAGCCGAGTGTGTCTTAACAAGAGAGGATCGGGGTCTGGGTGGGTCTGGGTACGTGTAGGGGTTTCGATGAGTGACTCTCAGTGTCCGTGAGTCTGGGTTTGGGATAGTCTGGGTATGAGGGGGACTATTATGAATTGGTGTGAATGTGGCTGGGCCTGAGCGTGTACGTCTAAGTGTGGGTTGGCTCCCTGTAGACGAGTTCGAGTATGACTCTGAACACAAGCAAGTTTGGGTGCCAGAACGGTTTGAGTTTGGTTGAGTATGGGTAAGTGTGGGTGAACACGAATGTGATTGAATCGCAGTGTGCACGGATCTTCGTATATGAACGACGCTGCATGAGTGAGCCTGAGTAACAGTGTGTCTGAGAGGACTTTGTGTGAGAGAAAAGGGTGGGACCAGGCCGGCGGGAGTGAGCGAAGCCGGGGCGCCACGCTGACGTTGCGAGGCGCCAGCGCGACAGGTCGGCCACCTCGATCTCTGCGAGGCCAGGCAATTTTGGGAGTGTCATCGCCACTGAAACCTGCCGCAGTCTCGGACGGGGCGGCCTGTAGGGGGCGGCCTGGAGATGCCTGTAGGGGGCGGCCTGTATTCCCTGGCGATAACCGGCGTGATTAGGGGGGGGGAGGAGGAGGAGGAGGAGGTTGAGGAGGAGGAGGAGGAGGAGGAGGAGTCTCGGACGGGGCGGCCGTCTCTGTAACGCCGCCGACGGCGAGCCGCGCCCCCCCGCCCGCGCAGTCGGGGCTCCTCCCGGCCATGTCTCGGCTCGCCGCCGAGACGGAGGCGATGCTGGAGGTGCCGCCCCACGGCCGCGGGGCTCTCCCTGGGCGTGCGGGCGGGAAGCATGCGACGCCGACGATGACGATGACGACGACGATGACGATGACGACGGCGATGACGATGACGCTGGCGATGACGATGGGGATGCTGGCGATGACGATGACGATTACGATGATGACCATGGCGAGATCCACTGCCTCTCGGTCCAGACTCCTCGGCCCTGCCCCCCCGCATACGGGCTGATGTTGCCCGGACCCAGGCCGCGCCCACAAGGGGTGGAAATTGATGGGGTTGGTGCATCACCAATGCATCGGCGATGCGGCCCGATCTTTCCCGCGCCGACGTCACCGATGTGTCGCCGATGTGTCGCCGCCGCGGCGCGTATCCGCCGACCCCTTCAGCTCGGACCCAATTTGACCGGCCTCCATCGGATATCCCGCGCGGAACGTATCTATGCGATCGCATATCCACGCGGAGTCGTCCTGGATGCCAGACGTCGGGAGCCATGAACATGGGCAAGTTCATCGTTCGTTGTGGACTTCGGGTGGACGTGTCTGGAATCCCGCAGTGTTTCTTCTGGTTTGGGTATCCCTCATCAGCCCATCTATCACTGGTACCCTGCGTAGCAAACAGCTGCCCTCTTGCACTATTTTCCGTTGCTCTAGAAACTAATGTGCTGAGCAAGATGGCGAAAGCCCGGTTTCGCAATCATCCATACCCAACGGGCTACGCATATTCTCAGCATCATTAGTTCTACACTTACTACTCAATTGCAACACAAAAATATTACTACAACAACTGTTACGCGAGTGATGATTCTTTGTCGTCGTATGTGTCGCACGGCCACTGCTTAGCTGCTGCGGCCCCTGTACGGGCGTTACTAGCACCAATGCAATTCGATGTTACTGGCACCAGCAGTGGCCGTTGGCACCGGTAGCAGCCCGATCGTCACCCTTGCTGAACGCAGCCTGAAGAGAGACTCTTGCCGCTAGGCCTAGGTAGCCGAATGTAGGATCCGGCCTCCGGATCGACCCTGGAGGGGTTCTTTTAAACGGAGTTATTTTACGGGGGTCTCCGAACGTTCGGAGGTGAGGGGGGAACATAGTCCCGACGCTGCTGTCGGTAATCCATCGCTTCGTTGGGCCCGCAGGCAAATATGTGTGGCGCCGGAGCCCGTGTTTGTGGCGGCTCCGGGCTACGTGAGCCGCCGCTTTCCCCGGCCTCCTGCCTGAGGCTGTATGGGCCGACTGCGTGTGAATTCGCGCATGCGCGTTAGGCGCCCTTCTCGGAGCTGGGCCGCGCGCTTTGCGCGCCACCAGCTCGGGCGTTCTGCGCCGGGCAAAAAGGAAACTTCCAGTGGCCGTCGTAATGCCATTGGTACGACCTCTACTACTACTACTACTACTACTACTACTACTACTACTACTACTACTACTACTACTACTACTACTACTACTACTACTACTACTACTACTACTACTACTACTACTACTACTACTACTACTACTACTACTACTACTACTACTACTACTACTACTACTACTACTACTACTACTACTACTACTACTACTACTACTACTACTACTACTACTACTACTACTACTACTACTACTACTACTACTACTACTACTACTACTACTACTACTACTACTACTACTACTACTACTACTACTACTACTGCTACTACTACTACTACTACTACTACTACTACTACTACTACTACTACTACTACTACTACTACTACTACTACTACTACTACTACGACTACTACGACTACAGCCGTTCTGGCTCAGGCATTTCGCTTGTGCTTGCAACAGCTTATCCTCAGAACGGCACACAGCTGTTGCGGGCTGAATTGGCTCGTATTCCATTTCATTCAGTTCGCGGGATCTCAACCCGCACGCTTCCATTTGTGAGCTCCTGCAGGAGCATCTCTTCACGACGTCCCCATCGGCGGCATGGCGGGTGGCTCTGCTGTCGGAGGCGGTAAAGGGCGCGTGGCGTGGGCGCCATGGCACTCGAAGTGGTCCAGTCCTCCTCCCTCTGGTGGTCTCCAAGGCGAAGCGCCTCGGATTGGAGCCGTCCGAGTGCCGAGGCGCCGCGACCACACCCAGTGGCCGCCGTTGGTGCCAGGCCTCCAACGTCCGCCTGCTACTCATGTGGATGCTGGTCATGGCCATGCTCCTGACAAGCGGTGGACATGCTGCTGGTGTGGATGCAAGAAAAACGAAGGCCGCTTCTACTTCTGCAAGCACTGCGGAGCGCTCAAGTCCGACTCCGCGGTGCCATCATCGACCTGGTCTTACGGTGGAGCGTTGGCCCTCTTCGAAGATGGTGCTGCAGATGGAGGGGGCAAAGCTGGAGGTAAAGGACTTCCGGCAGGCGCTGGAGGCATCAAAGGAGGCAAGGGGCTCCCCAATGACGGTGGCAAGGGCCCCACCCTTCCGGGTGCAGGTGCCCCCGCCGCAGATGCGCCTCCGCTCACCAGCGAGGAGTACCTCCAGTTGTCGGGCCTCTGCGCAAAGATGGGCGACATGCAGGGAGCAGAGGCGTACAAGACGGCCGCTGCGGCTCTGCAGAAGCCGGCGGCTGCTCCTGAGGCCGTGCAGGTCCGTCTTCAGAAAGCGCACAGCAAGGCTCGAGGCGTCGAGAAGAGGTTGGAGGCAGCTTGCAATAAGTTCGACCAGCTCGAGTCCCAGTTGGAGTTGCAGCGTTCAGCTTTCGTTCAACTTCGTGCAGAACTGGTCGCGGCGGAATCAGAGCATGGTGATCTCGTACGCAAGCTTCATGCTGAGTTGCCCCCTGCCACGCCAGCGGCCGGTGGCAACAAGCTCTCCATGGACGACCTGCTTGACGAAGAGAAGTTTGCGGCTGCCTTCGACGTCGACGTGGGTTCCGCCTTCCAGGTGGGCGTTGACGACGAGCTCTCGGCCGAGGACCAGACTGAGCTGGAGAACCGCATCGAGCAGTTCAAGACTGGCATCTCCTCCATGGCAAAGAGCCTCTTCTCGGAGGCTAAGTCCAAGGTCGACGGCCTCAAGGCGGAGCACTCTGCGCTGGCGGCTCGGATGGCGGCGAAGAAGCGTCGCACTGGAGCTGACGGAGAAGGAGCGGCCGCTGGTGGCACAGCGGGCGCTGCCCCCCCAACTGCTGGCGATGGCCAGGGCGCCCAGGCCGCGGCAGCTTCGGCCCGTCCGGAACCCCAGGCGCCCCCAGCAGGCGGCGCCGCTCCCGGCCCTCCCGCGGCTGCTGAACCGCCAGCGCCTTCTGCATCCGCGCGTTCTCGCGCTGACCGCATCGCAGGCAAGGGTCACTCTTCTGAGCCACCCCCCCCTGGAGGCACCTAATAATCCTTCGGTCCTGGCCCGTCTCCCGGTCGTCTCGGGGCGCCGTGTCCCTGCTTCTTTGGGACTTCAGGTTCTGGGCTCAAGGGAAGGCTCTTATGGGCAAGCGCTCCAGGGGGATCTGAACTTGCTTTTCAACAGCTGCCTGGAGTGCGATCTCTGGCGCAGCTCGCTCTTTGGCGCAGGAGGGGGATGCCCCTTTTGCTTGCCCAGTGTGTAGGGGAGCCTGCACAGCAGCGTCTGTCTCGCCATCGATGGTCAGCGTTGCTTGCTCGCTCCCTTGCTGTGCTCAATGGCGACAGCTCCACCTCGTCCATTGCCCGCGCTAGTTTGCAGCATGCTTCTTCGTTTGCGTTCAGTTGCACTTCATTTGCTCGCCGGCAGGCGCCCGTCAATTTCGCCGCCCCTGCTCGTGCATATCCAGTGCTCTCTGTGGCGAAGTCTGCTGTTCACCGCGTCTCTTGTGTGAAGCTGCCGCTGGAGATGCCTTTGATTTCCAGTCAGCGCGAGGCTTCTCTCGCCGTCTCGTCTGGTGAGTGCCCTTATGATGGTGCTTTCCCGTTCGCTCTCTCCCCTCTCGTTCCTCCTCCCCCTCCTCCCCCTTCGCCTCCGGCGGCAGAGGCAATTCCGACCGAGGGGCAAACTAACAACTTTAATGTTCTCTTGCCCTGCTTTACTGAACGCGGCGGAGCCGACGCTCTTAGGCCCCTCGCCTGCCGTTCCAGTTTCCTTGGGCCTGAAGCTTCGTTGTTTTCCCCCGGCCTCGCCGCCCAGGGTAAAGTGGGAGAGTTGCTCTCGCAGAGTCCTGGAGGTGCGAGTGCACGCCAGGGGGGCCGCGGCGAGCAGTCGCCAGAGAATATCGATGTGGTGGCCCTCGAGGTTCAGACCATCAACTGCAATTCTTGGGGCAGGATGAAGTCCATGTTGGAAGGCGCTAACACGCATGTGGTGCTGTGTCAAGAACACTGGTTTCTGGCTCAGGAAGCTATCGATCAGGCCAGCTCCTGGTGCATTCGCCGCGGATGGAAGTCGATCTGGTCGCCTGCGCTTGCGACGGATTCGGGGGATACCAGCTCCGGAGTCGCCATTTTCGTGCGCAGCTGGCTGGGGTGTCGCCCCCTTCCGGGGGATCCCATTTGTCCTGGACGAGCCGTCGGGTGTTTCGTGGAGCTGCCAGGGACCCCCCCTCTTGTGATGCTGTCGGCCTACCTTCATCATTCGGAGGGCCTGTCCGACAACAATCGCGAGATTCTGGCCAGGATCGGCGAGAGTGTTGATTGTCTGCACTTGCCGTGGCTTCTGGGTGCTGACTTCAATTTCGAGCCCAAAGAGCTCGAGGACGCTCAGTTCATCAGCGAGCTCAGAGGGTCTCTTGTTTTCCCCAGCGTCTGCACTCATTACCCTGTTGGCCCGCCGACCACCTTCGATTATTTTGTGTGCTCGGGCGGCTTAGGCAAAGCTGTCGCGAAGGTCGAAACGCTGCTGGACACGGAGCTCTCACCCCATCGCCCGGTGGAGCTTTCGTTTCACCCCCGTTTGGCCGTCCTTCAAGCCTTGACTTTTCGCAAGCCTCCCCCTCTTCCGAGTGCCAGGGTTGTGGGCCCTGCTCCTCGTGACTCGTCCTGGGCTGGAGAGCAAGCCCTGGCCGATTCGGCCCTTGAGAGGCTCGAG